TCCTTCGAGTCGTCCCTTTAAACCAAATCGAGAGCGTTCCTTAACGAATCGGTACGTAACTCCTGGAGATCCTCCACGGCCGCTTCCCCAGGGGATCGGGCGACAGCTGGGCACCACATCCTCAACTAGGGCAGGAGGTTTCTCTCCTGCCCTTAACCATATCAAAACTACCTCCGCCCGCTCTACAGCCCTTTTCTTAGCCCAGGCTTCTGCCGGTCCGTGGAGACGTCTCCGTCGGGTACTCTCCTCTGCCGGGCAACTCGGTACGTCGAGACCATCTCCCCACGGCAGATTCGAGCACCTCGACCTCAACTAAACACTAACGAAATCTCACGAGAGCCTTGACATAACTGTACGAATCAACCCGAGAGCGTAGCTTCTGAACAGGGTGGCGACCCGAAGGGAACCAGAAATCGAGAACGTTATCTGTATCGGTAACCGGAGCCGCCTTGGGACCGTGATTCGAAAAATCACGTCACAATATATATATATAAAATAAAATAAAAATGGAAACAAGACGTTTGCACCTTCTGTCGCAAAGTCGCTATGATTGCATTAAGAAGTATGAAAAGCGATTGAGGGATACAGGCATGTCGGTCAAGTTGCGAGACGACGCGCACGCATACACACACAGCAGCTCAAGGGGGGAGAGAGAGAGAGAGAGAGAGAGAGAGAGAGGGAGAGAGAGAGAGAGAGATTAGAAAAGAACCAGAAGACAGGGATACCAAGGAATATAATGATGTCGGAGAACGGAAAGTTAGCAGCGTGCGTGTGTGTGCATGGGCCACTCTCGCAGAAACAAGAACCTCTGTCATCAGCACCAGCAGCCACTACCATCACCACCACCACCATCTTCATCATCATCATCAGCATCACCTATTTCTCTCTTTCTCTCTCTCTCTCTCTCTTTCCTTCTTTCCCTTTCTCTGTTTCTTTCTCCTAGCCCCAAAACTTCCCACAGCGACCCGCGTGTTAATATAATGACTCTGTTTTGGTGACGTTGCAGTGACGACGCCGCTGTTCACGCCTGCAGTGGGAGTGGCTGCAGCAGGTGCAGGCGGCGGCGCCGGCGCCGGAGGAACAGGCGCCAGGAGTTACGTCGATCCGCACACTTACGAGGATCCGAATCAGGCGGTGCGAGAATTCGCACGTGAGATCGACGCCGGCTACATTACAATAGAGGCTATAATAGGTGAGTCGACGAATCTGAACTCTTTATGAAAAGTGTCCAAGTCCGATGGAATCCAATGGTCATGCTGTTGAATGTCTGACAGGCGGCGGAGAATTTGGCGACGTGTGCCGAGGTAAGCTCAAATTACCACCGGATGGACGTTCAGAGATAGACGTGGCGATTAAGACCCTGAAGCCGGGTTCAGCGGACAAGGCCCGCAACGACTTCCTCACGGAGGCCTCGATAATGGGCCAGTTCGAGCATCCCAATGTGATATTCCTCCAAGGTGTCGTAACCAAGAGTAACCCCGTTATGATAATTACCGAATTTATGGAGAACGGAAGCCTCGACACTTTCCTGCGGGCCAATGACGGCAAGTTCCAAGTGCTTCAGCTAGTCGGGATGCTTCGTGGCATCGCTAGCGGGATGCAGTATCTCGCCGAGATGAATTACGTGCACCGTGATCTGGCTGCACGTAACGTCCTCGTGAACGCTGCCCTCGTGTGCAAGATCGCGGACTTTGGTCTCAGCCGAGAGATCGAGAGTGCAACCGAGGGTGCTTACACGACCAGGGTAAGTTTTAATCTCTGATTCCTTGAACATCCTACAACATAGGTAAAACACCTGTGGTCGTTGAGACTCTGAGCTCACGGTAATAAAAGTAAAAAAGATACTTGAAAAAAAAAGCAGCACTAATTTTCGGAATGTTTATTCAGGGTGGTAAAATCCCGGTACGATGGACCGCGCCGGAAGCGATAGCCTTTCGGAAGTTCACGAGTGCCTCGGATGTCTGGAGCATGGGCATAGTCTGCTGGGAAGTGATGTCGTACGGCGAGCGACCATATTGGAATTGGTCGAATCAGGACGTTATAAAGTCAATTGAAAAAGGCTATCGACTTCCGGCACCAATGGATTGTCCAGAGGCGATCTACCAGCTGATGCTCGACTGCTGGCAGAAAGAGCGCACGCACCGGCCCACTTTTGCCAACCTGACACAGACCCTCGACAAGCTCATTCGCAGCCCAGACACCCTGAGGAAGATTGCACAAAACAGGTAATCAGTCTGAAATCACGTCTGCGCCTCTCGTGCATCAATCAACCCTTTACTCCAGAAACAGCCTCCGAAAGAACCGTCAAATAATCCGGAATGGAAGTCTGGTGGTGGCTACCACCACCAGGTCTCTGACCCCCCCCCCCC